TCAGTAACTTATCTATGTTATGATTTATGTTATATTGCTATTATTGATATGTGAAAATTTAATTTATACTTTTTTTTTTAGATGCTACACACAGTTATTTATCACAGTTAATTATCAGTTAATAAAAAACATTGAAATTTCACCCGATTTAATTTATTTGATGATTCAACTGATTCAGAATTATTTATTTAAAAGAAATATAAAAGTTTATTTTATATTTGTGTTTTATACTTTAGTTGCTTAATCTTATTTTCTCTTTTTTCCGATTTAAATGTGTTAAGAATTGCATCGGCTAGGCGAGCATTTGTATCTTATTTTCATCAGGCCTAGCTTGGCTGCCAACATCGGATCGCCATTGTTTTTGTCCATACGGAATTGCATCAGGCCGAGATCAGTCAGCCAATGATTTGATTGGAATTGTGTCGGCTCAACATCAGCCAGCTGATGCATTGTAACAGTTTGAGCAGCCAGCTGATGTCGGGCCTACCTCAGGCCGTATGGACAAAAACGCCATTGGTCCGATGTCGGCAGCCAAGTTCGGCCCGACATCGACTTTAACACAGGGTTATTTATTTTTATCTATTAATACTTCTATTGAAAAATATTGTATGAAATCTTTTTTCAAATGAAAAAAAAGTAACTATAGCTAATAAGTAACAGTAATGAGTAACTGCTACATTATTCCAGGGCCTTTGAGAGGGAGGGGCAAAGGGGGCAAATTGACCCGGGTGCCAAGCTTGAAGGGACGCCGGACAATACGTTTTTTTTTATAGAATAAATAGAAAACATTTTAATGACTGACAATCTGAAATCTGCTTAGTTTTTGCATTTGAGATTGAAACTTTAGTATTTGGAATAAAATTGCACATGAAAAAAATAATTTAAGTTTTTAATTCTATTCTTATAATTATTATTAAACTAATTTTTACGAAAAAAATAGGATTTAGCTGTTGTAGAATTAGACAGAGGCGGGTGTGTTCCGTAAGTCCATGAACATTTAGCAGTGCTAGCTCAAGATTATATGCTGTGGTAATAATAATGGTAACTCATCAAATTTTGCTTTGAAGGAGTTGACACAGATAGCACTGAAAACATCAATAGGTAGTACGTTACATGGGTTCGCTTTTATCTTCTTTAACTATACGGTTGTTGAAGAAGTTGAAGTGAACGAGACAGTTGTGGTCGATTTAACAAAAAAAGCGCTGTTTTTTTTAAGTAGTATTTGACTGTTGAGGCAAAAAAGAGAATCATAGCATTGCATTTTTCAGACAAATAAGCGGCCTTGACTATACCAGGACCCGGCCAGTTATCAAATATTTGAGTTTTTGCATCTTGGCTGCCCTCAATATGGGTAGTTTACTGCACTTAATATGTTATTCGAAGGACTGTGGATCAGTGGGGGCTTAAACAATTTCCCTCAAGCCGAGCTAAATGAATTTCAGCTTAGTGAATTATTAGAGTCAGAAAAAGGAATTTTATCTAACAGTGGAGAATGCAAGGTTCAACTTAACTTGGTAATAATTAATGCTAACCCTTCTTTGTGGGCAGTTGTTTTGAGTCAAAAAGATCAAGATGCAATTATTTTAAAGAGATCTCCACCACTAAAGTAGTATTCAAAAGCCACTAATTGTCCCTTCTTCATTGAAACTGAGGAGCTAGAGATCAACGGAGGAAACTCATAAGTCGTGTGAAGCAGCATCAATCCAGCCCATTGCACTAAAGGTTCTACAATGATTGAAAAGAGGCCTACATTCGTCTTACCAGCTCCACTGGTAAATATTTAGAGCTCCATAAGTGAATAAATTCTAAGACTGCTAAATGGCTGACAATTCTTTGTGAAATTTTGAATGTGACTGTTTTCCAGGCTTCTAAGGAATTTAACTTTAGGGAAATTACTTTAGGTGTTTTCATTGATAAAAGCTTTAGATACTATTGATCACGTAATTCTTTTAATAAAAGTTGGAATGGTACAGAATTAATGGAAATATATTAATTTGGCTAAAAAGTTACTTTTTTTTTTTTTTTTTTTTTTTTTTTTTTTTTACATTATTCACCTCCCCAAGGCCCGAGGGGGCCACTACAGTCGAGGAGGCTACTCATTTTTTTGTGTTTTTTATTTTTTGTTGTATTTCGTGGTACAACCCTCTCTCAACTCTTTAACTCCGAAACACGAACCTTGACAAGCAAGGCCGCTGCGCGGAGAAACAAAGTTGAGCGCGGTACTTCCAGGGACGTGGTGGGAGTCGAACTCCGAACCTCTCGCTTACAAAGCGAGCGCTCTTACCACTACACCACTGCCGCATTATACTTAAATAATTGAAAACAATTTGTTTATGCAGATGATAACATATCATCTAGTTTGTTAAATATTTCATGTGGAATTCCTCAAGGATCCATATTAGGACCTCTCCTATTTCTAATATATATTCATGACTACCAAAAGCTTCTAACCTAATGACAGTTATGTTTGCTGATGATTTTAACTTATTACTTTCTCATTATAACATTTTTACACTTTTTAGCAACATAAATATTGAACTAGTCAAAATTTGCAATTATTTGTTGGTTGTTGATTACTATATGTTTAAATTTAGTGAATTATTTAACATGTTTCACTTTTTAAGTTTAAGAACTCTTCTATTGTAATTTTGTATGTTTATTTTTATTTTATTTTATAGTATTATGTTACGAACTTTATGTCGCCATAATTTTCAATTTTTGAAAATTATGGACATTATTGTTTGCATGAGTCAGCTGTTCGGAAGATACAGTAACTTGATTGATGCAAGCCGTAAATACCATAACAAAAGAAAAAAATCATTAAAAAAAAATCTTCTAATTTCTTCAATAGAGGTTTATCTGTGACAAGAAGCTTTTTTAGGTAGCTCATTATAAAGTTTTCTCAATATCAATTTTAATTTTTTATATAATTATTACAATAATTTGTAACATCCCACTTAGAAAATGTATACAATAACTACAATTAATTTATTGTAATATATATATATAAATAATTAAAATTGATATTGAGAAAACTTTATTATCACAACATCAACAAGAAGGCTCCACAATGAGTGCCCATTTTTTTTTTTCATCCTCTCAAAACAAGTTAACCAAAAAATATGATGTTATCCAAAGTGCAGCTGTCGAAGAAATTCAGGATGGCATCTATTTCACAACCATAGTTGATGGTACCCCTAATATATCTCATACTGAGCGGATAACCTTTGTCATTCATTTTCTTCTCTATGAAAGAGAAATTACTTTCAGCAAAATTGAAGAACAATGTGCTGAAACTTTTGAGAGGAAGAAAGGATTTGATATAGCTAAGCTTATCACTAATGTGATTTTAAGGCTATGTATGGATATTTAAAAATGTTGTGGTTAGGGACACGATAAAGGATCCAGTAGGTCAGGTGCTTACAAGGGAGATCAGGGCTTGATAAGGCTAAATTATTTAGAGGCTCTGTACCTTACCTGTAGCGCTCACAGTCTGATTTTGGCTGGTGTGCTCGCAGTTGAATCATCCATTGAGATTAAAGTATTCTTCAAAAATGTTGGAGCGTATTTTTTAGTCCAAGTCTAACCCGATGGAAGATTCTCACTAAGGCAACTGGAATTTCACTGCATAGACTTTCTCTGACAAAATGAAGATCTCATACCAACTTGATCAAACCACTTGCCAAGAGGCCGAGAGAAATGTTGGCAGCTTTTAAACATATCATGAAAAATCTGGTTCTGACCAGTGAGCAGCTCAGCCAAACAAGAGATTTAAAAAAATGATTATTATTTTTTGAATTTGTATTGCTCAATACGATTCGGTACAAAACTCTTACTACTGTTAACGATGTTTGTCTTAAATGAATTAGAGCTCTTGGTTGCAAGTTTTCTAAGAGGCTGCAGTTGTAGCTGATTGCTAAGATTCGAAATTGAACTCGCTCCTAAAGGAAAGCGTGAGCTAAAGCGCTTTTATGATGAGGCATCAAACACAGTCCATTTCCATGAAAGCCAAACAAAAGAATTTAAAGTGAACATTTTCAATGTTGGTTTAGATGATCTTATCCAGCAGATTGATTCAAGATTTGAAACAAGTAGGGTGGTTGGCAATATTTTCATTCTTCAGGTTAAATAATAACAATCTTTCCGTTTAAAATAAAGCATGAGAACTCGCACGGTTTCATCCGAGAGATGTAAGCAAAAAGAAGAAGTTCGCCGTTTTACCAATGCCCGCAAAACAATTTTCAAGCAAGCAATCTAATGCAGTTTCTTGATCTAATCTTTTAGAAGAAGCTTGAATGCCTTTTTCCATATATTTTCATCATGCCTCAAACTTTCAACAGCATTTTTAAGTCAGTTGCTGAGGGTGAACGATTGTTTTGTAAACTGAAAGTTGTAAAAAATCAACTTCTGACAAACAAAATCTCCATTCGACCATGTGTCAAGATCACGTTACTGGTATTTGATTATTTTTATTAAAGAAGATTCGACTAAAAAGGTGAGTTACAAGAACGTCATTAAAATTTGGGTGGCCAAAAAAGCTCAGAAAATCATTTTAAAGCGATTTTTTACCTTTCCTAAACGTTTTATTGATTGATTTTTTAATAGTTTTTAAACTAATATTTTGATTCATATATCAGTTTTGATTAATGAATTGCTTCTCAATGCAGAGAATTAATAGTAACGCAAAAATACAATGTGCTGTATCAGAAATAAATAAATTGCTGCGTTCACAAAATTTTTAAAATTTTAGAATTTTAATTTCTTGGTTTGAATTAAGGGCGCCGCTCTTCATTTTTGTCCCCGGCGCCATTGGCTCTCTTAAAGGCCCTGCATTATTCATAACTATTGAATGCTTTTATAGTAAATAGTATAGCTAACATCTGAAACAGGTCAACATCAGAAAAGACTTAAAAAATAGTTTATTATAATGATTAAAAAAATTTTCTACAATACCATAAATAAAATGATAACATAAGAAAGAATAGAAAATATTGACTTACCTCGTTCATTTTCCATTTGACTTTTTTGATTTTTCTTTATTTTTTAGGGTACATTAAATATTGCAATTTTTATAAGTACTCTAAATAAAAATCATGTTGGGTCTCAAATAAAACAAAATTGAAAAAAACATTTGAAAAATGATAATTATAAAAATAAATATGTAATATATAACAGCATAAAAAATGAAGTTAATTAACTAAAAAATTGAAAATGTGCATTTTTACCAAATTTTTTGACAATAATTTATTTTCAATTAGCTTTTTAGGTGGCAGCAAATATTTTTCATAATTAGGATCTAATATATATATATATATATATATATATATATATATATATATATATATATATATATATATATATATATATATATATATATATATATATATATATATATATATTATATATATATATATATATATATATATATATATATATATATATATATATATATATATATATATATATATTCATACATTGTTCATCAAGTTTTGGAGTTATAGAGTTGAGAGAGGGTTGTAACCACAACTAAAGTAACCTCCTTAACTGAAGTGGCTTCAAAGAAATTGAGAATTAAAGAGATTAAGAGCTTTGGCGTTAACAAGGTGATGTAATGAGCATTAAAGTCAACAATAACAACAACAAAAATCATCAAATTTAAACAGTAATAATATAACCTAATTTATAACAAATTAGTGAGTTAATATCTAGATTTAAGACCTAGCATATGTCAAGTGGAGTCTTTGTCAGATTAACTTTGAATTGTCCGACTGTAACTCAAAAAGGATAACAGCAATTAACGCTGAGATTAAAGAAAAAATATCAAAAATCAAAATAATAAAAAAATACTGCAAAACAAAGTGTTTTTAATTGCTAAGTTTCTAAATTGTTTAATTTAAGTAGTGTAACTATTTTTAAACTCAAATAACATAAATTCACTTGAAATTAAAAATTGTATAGCCTCATTTAGCTAAATGCCATTATAGTCTTTAGTGGCATTTAGCTAAATAAGGCTCAAGTTAATATGCATGAAAAAAAAGGAACAACTTTATTTAAAATCTTAAATAAAGTTGTTCCTTGATAATTGAGGAACAACTTTAAGGTTTTATTACAAATAAAGCATCTTAAAACAATCAAAATAAATTTTTAATTAATTCATCTTAAAACTGATTATTAGTGGGTAGGTAGCTTTCTGCATAAGGTCTCATTTGAGCTTCAAGATAACTGAAAGAATTGAATAGCAAAAGCAACCCTCTCATGTTGAGGTGATTGTTTTTTGCAAGCTATCTAACTCTTTTAGTTTATTAAAAAAACAATGGTATATTTTAAATGACTCTTGAATAAATAAAAAATTTTTAAAAAGGCATTTGTATAAGTTTAAATAAAAGATAACTTGATTTTGAAAATGGAGATAATATTAGATAACTCCTGGCAGTTAGACTTTTTCTTTTTCTTTTTTTTTTTTTTTTTTCCATTGTACGAAAGAGAACTGTACGAAATAACTGTACGAAAGTTATCGGGTAGTCCTCTTCAGAAGCTTTGGAGAAAATTGGTATTAACTTATAATTTAAGTTATTTATAAACTTATAATATAAAATATATATTATAAACTTATATATACATATTATAAATTATATAATATATATTATAAATTATAAAATATATGTTATAAATTATATAATATATATTATAAATTTATAATACAAAAAATATAAATGATAAAAATAAATCTATCGATATAAGTTATAACAATAGATTTATTTTTATTATTTATACTTTTTTCTTTTATTAAATTTGTGAACACAAGATACCTAAGTTAATAGTAATTATTGACTTAGTTAAGTTATTAACTAATATAGTTAATAAATATCAATATAGAACTTATTTGAACTTTTAACTACTATTTAATTTTATTTTCTCAGTAACATTTAATTGTTACATTATAATAATAACAAATGTACATATAGGTCAGGCAATATGGTTATAAGAAATAGTTTTATAGGTTCTATACCGTAATAATTTTTGAAAAAAGCTCTTGCTAAGTAACGCGATTACCGTTTTAAAATATTTTTTCGCGCTTTTTAAGAAGTTGGACCTTGAAGGTCCTACTACTATGAACAAGCACTCGCTAGAAGCATAGTCATAGTATTTAACTAGTCTGGAAACGCGGGCCGTTTTCTTAAAACACTTAAGTTCCTCTCGATACTAGTGCTCAGCCTACTTTAGAGTGCATCAAATTGTAAACATTGTATTTCGCTATAGATAAGTTACATATATTCTGGGATAAATATTGAAATGGCATGAACAAATTGTGATTTTTTTGGTTATTCAGTTTCAAGTTAATATTTTGGATTGCATTTATATTTCGTATTCCGAATAAAAATGATGAATATAGCATAAAATAAAGACATCAACTGTTGGTAAATGTAGTTGGTAAATGTAGTGACAGAGTTTGTATTGGTACAAATATGCTTATTCAACCATATAGCTTATATCATATAAGCATTTAAGTTATATGCACTATATGAAAATATGTTATAGATGCAAATATTTTATCAACTGTATAACTTGATGGATGTATATGGGTATAAATACTTTGTATTATATTCAGAGTATATTTATTTAAAGTGTTAGCTAATATAGCTTAATAATCTATATTCTATATATAGTTTACTTAGCTAGATTAGTTGATAATTTATATATCATTCTTTACACTTTGCTGGTATCTTTTCTGGAAACAAGAAAAAATAAGGTACAATTTTTTCATTTTGAATAGTTTCAAAGCTAAATTAGATGTTGGTATCTTTAAAGATATGTGTTATACCCTTAATATAGCATATTTATCTACCTTAGAGAGAAAATTATATCTTAATTATTACCTAAATTATATTAAAAATAGTGATTTGTTGTTTAATTTTCTACCTTACAAGGAAAAAAAATTTTACTTTTAAAGATACAATTTTTTTGAAGGTAGAAGATTTTACCTTACTATGTGCATATCACATATTCTACGCTACAGTAGAACTTCTACCTTTTTTACAAGTGCTATACTAACAATAAATGTTGTGCAAAAATATTTTTCTATTTTTATTAATAAGTAAAAAACTTAATCAGTAAAAAAAAAATAGGATTTTAATAAATACTTTAAAAATAGCTAGTATATCAAAGCTTCTTAAACTAAAATTCAAAAGCTCGTATATAAAATTTTATTTTTATTATGCTGTATTGCAATTTGTATAATAGCAAATAAAAAATATATACTTGATGCAATAAAGATGATGCCAAAGTCTGCTACCAAATATTGCATCACTATCATACTTAAATCAAATTTAATTCAATTATAAAAAAAGTACAATGTATTATAAGAAAATTGCAGAATTATTTTAAATCTTGATTTTAAGCTATAACTTAATATCTATTTTGTTGAATGCAGAAAAAAAATATATCAAAATCGAAGGTTATCTTTAACTAAAATAAGATATTTGTGTTAATTTTTTAGTTTCAAATTCAGCTGCAGTGTATGATGATATACTTGACTAATCTAGACGATATACTTGACTTTTACAACTGGTGCCACTGTATGACTAATGTTTCTTTTGCTTTAGAAAGCAATCAAAATTTCTTAAAAGTTGTTGCTTGTAACTTGCGATGTTTATGCAAATCGCAAGTTGTTGAAAAAGCATTTTAAATGATTCATTTATGCCTAATCCACCACATTAAAATATAACAACTCGTTACTGTCTTATTTAAATATGACTTATCCAACTTAAAACATATGGAAAAAAAGATAAATGTAAGGATGGTAAGATTATACAGTGGAACCACATTGCTTATATATTCTATGAAGACCTTTTTATTTTACCTAAACTTACTTTTGAGCATATAAAGTTGGCAAAATATTTATTAAAAAGTGTTAACCTTGCTGCCTAAGTAATAAGTTTTTGCTGTATTAAAAACTTTATTACATTATGAAATAGCTTATTTGAAAATTCTTTCCAACACTAACGATCACTTAATGCTTGCAAGGGTAACCCATCATTTAACGACTTTCAATAATAACAAAATAAAAAATACTTTTAGTAGCTGAAAATGTATTTAGCTACACAGGTATTATAAAGTGGTAGTAATATAGTATTAAGTCATGCCAAAAAAAAAAAAAAGATGTTATTAGATTAGTTTAAAAATAAATATTTTTTATATATGTAAAATAGCCATGTTGTCATTATTATTTTAAATTAAAAGACAATTGTATTATTTTTATTATTCAATCTTTTATTGTTGTTTTATTATAAAGTTATTACACCATAAAACTATTAAATATACATGAAGCATTTATTGAACTTACTCTAGGAGCTAATTATATACCAATAATATTTTTAAAAAATATGTGGCTATGAAAATAGCCGTTTTAGTAGGTTCAAGTCATATCACTTTTTCTTTAATGTTCTTGTTCCAGAATAGAAAGTGTTTTTTAATTGATGTTCTTTATATATCAATTTAGTTTGACTCTTTCAGGTTATATTTTGCAATGTACAATCTACGAACTTGTATGTAAAATGTTAGATGATTATGCATACTTAGCTGCAAGCAAATACGATAAACACTGCTCATTATACAACTTAGACATGTTAGAAAACCAATTGTAAAATTAGAGGTACCAAAAACATTTCCACTAAGTCATAATAGAATGTTTTGTTTAGTGATGTAGAGGGATACATGCTTAAATGTTATAATATTATTGATAAAAGAGGCACCAGTTAGATAAACAAAGACAAGATTTGCTACTTCAAAACATGAAAGAAATTGTTTTTTCAGAAAAAGTTTTGTAGAATCAATTCTACAAAATATTTTCTGGAAAAAAAAATTTCTTTCATGTTTTGAAAGCATTCATGTTTTGAATGCTACTTCATGTTCTTTCATGTTTTGAAGTTGTCATCATTTTTACTAGGAACTAAGCTGTAATGAACTCTTGAAATAATTGAAATATTTATACTTGATTTTAAACTTTTAATGCCAGCTTGTAGCAAAGTACTATTTATCTGAAGCAATCTTGATTAAATAATTGTAAAATCTAATAGGTTGAAGAATAATCTT